TTACCCGCTAGCTTCCAGACCCTACACTTTCCGTTGACCGTAAAACCCAGATCTTTAGGCCCTTGGACCATGGCCAAACCCTAAGTTAAAAACCCTAAACCCTAAGCCCTAAACCTTAAACCCGAAGCCTTAAATCCTAAACCCTAGGGTTGGGAATCTCAGAGCCAGGAGCCTGCGCGGCACTCTGCGCCTTCAGCCGCTCCTCCATCAGGCGCTCGAGATTGCGGCCCGAGTCCTCCCCGCACAGAGGCTTAGGGTGTCGGGTTAGGCATGCCTTTATATATATATATATAGTTTATAGGGCGTAGGGGTTAGGGTTCTAGGGTTGAGGGTATAGGTTTTAGGGTGTAGGGTTTGGGGTTAGGGGTATTGGGTGTACAGTGTAGGGCTTAGGGTTTAGGATTTAGGTTTTAGGCCCAAACTCCTTGAAAGGGGGATACATAGGGGATAGGGCTTCTTAAGGGGGGATACGAGCAGCTCATATAATTAGGGTGCAAGGTAGCGGTATAGGGTTTAGGATAAAATTTAGGGAGGAAGGCTACGGGTAAATGTAGGGTTTGGCGTACAGGGTATATGAAGGGCCCAGCAACAATGAACAATTCTTTTGCCGGGCCTGGCCATCTAGATCTTAGGGCCCTTTGTTGGAGCTTATATAGGGCATATATAGGGCTCATATACGGTGTTAAGCGTCTTATGGTTTATGGTTTAGGGTTTGGGGGTTATCTGATATTGGATGGTCATGGCAGCAAGCATCAAGGCAACCATCATGGCCATGAATGTAGTAACCGCCCCTAGCTTCCCGCTACACTGTATCCCCCAAAGATGCATTGCAGAACTGCTTTTCCGCATAGAGACACATATGCACTCATATGTAGCGCGCCAAACGCCACACAAACAGTGGTCTGGGGACTCTGGGGCTTACATCTTTTTGGAGAAGGCAAGGGAAGGCAAGGTGGGATCTGAACTCCTCCTTTGCGGAATGTGACACGCGGGATACATGTGTCTGAAGAATCAGTATCAAAGTCTTAGAGACCACTACACTGCTGGAAGCTACGGGTTTGGACCTAGGAGATCGTCGAGCAGCCGTGACGTAGATCTCGCTCTTAGTAGACAAGGTCTGGCAATTGCATGGGGTCATTAACTCTGCTTTACAATTACGACCCTGAATCTGGAATCCCCGTAGACCTCAAACAAAGAGACCAATGTCAATGACCCCTGAGGGCTAATTACTATACCAAAATGAAAAATATAGTTCCTAAGAAGACCACAGGAACACTGTTCTCTCTTCTTTTCCCGTTGTTTGCCAGTCTCGCTTTGGCATGGTCTCAGGCGCTCGATGAAGTACAGCGAATAGCTGTTGTCCTGCAGCGGGGTCTGCGGCAATGTGCTTACACCAGCATTCGAAAAGGACTAGCAAGACCACACATCAGCTATAGTCCAAACTATGAATATCCACCAAAAAACCCTATAGTACTCCCTTATATAATCCCCTTTCAGGACTTTAGGCCATAGCTCACAAGGCCCGCCCCAATACCGTCACCTCCCTGCTTACCGGGACTTAAGCAGGAGTGGGTGAGGGAATCTAGGTAGATTTAGGGTTTAGGGTTTAGGGTTTAGGATTTAGGATTTAGGGTTTAGGATTTAGGGTTTAGGGTTTAGGATTTAAGGTTTAGGGAATCATAAGAATCATTATAAACAACCACTCCCCGTAAACATGGCAATTCACGTATGTGTGTTTAGACCGCTTGGCTTCCTCACCCTGAGTATCATATGTCTCGCCTACATATAAGGTCTCCTGTAAGGAACATCTACTACCAGGAAGGGGGGGGGGTGTTTTATAGTGTCGAATATTCATGATTAATTAACCACTCATATTTAGCTTCAACAGGGGGATTGGGCTGTGGGAACTAGAAGTGACGATTAAAGGGAGGGCCATGGAGGACTTAATGGGACTGTTATCGGAATCCGTTCCCCACTCTCTCTGAACCAAGCGTGAGTAGGGAATGAGGCTATTCTCTATGAAATGCTTAACTGTAAGCATGGTTATCATAACTATGACGGCCATTTGCCGAAATGTCGCGTGGGCCAAGACAATTACCATAACAAAGTATATCAACGACCAATAGTCTACAATGCCCCCAACTCCGAATTCTGAAGCCCAGAACTCCTCCAACTCCTTGTCTCATGCTTGCTGCAAAGCCCGCAAAGGCCCTAAACATACCCTGTCCCAAGAAATCTTCGCCTGGAGTTGCTGGTCACTGACATGTATCTCACCCACGCCAACACTTAGTGACTTGGGGTTATTTTGGGCTTACAAGGGTTATATAGGCGCTATACAGGGGCTACCTATAGGGCTTAGGGTTGGGGCTTTGGCTCACTGGATGGTAGTAGAGAATGGTGGAATGGATCCCTATAGCAGCCCTTGCATGAACCCGAATAATATATTCCGGGCCTCTTTGCCCTTCCTTCATTCCCTACTAACAGCCGGAAACATAGGAACCACCCCTCACCGCGCAAGCCAGTAAGACTCTCATAAATGCGTTGTGGAACTGAACTAAAAACCACCTAAACTCTGAACTTTAAGCCCTGAGCCGCATGGATCTCAAAAAGTCGGACCCTGAATTCTAACCCCCTAAACCCAATGGAGTTCGGACTCTGAACTTGAAGCCGTTGAAGCTAAGGGGAGAGGTGTGTATCTACATGAGCGTTTGTCTAAACTCCTCATGAAGTGGTATAGAGGGGATGAAATAAGGGAGTATTGTAGCGGTTATTAAAGTTATTAAGGGGGAAACTTATTAAGGGGGAAACTTGGAGTTTAGACCCTAAAGCCTAAACCCTAGGAATTAGTATGGGGGATACTAGAAATTTAGTTGAACAAAAGGGAGTATTGTAGCGGTTATTAAGGTCATTAAGGGGAAAACTAGGAGTTTAGACCCTAAAGCCTATAAACCCTAAAAATTATGGGGAATACTAGAAATTATGGGGGATGCTAGGAGTTAAGACCCTAAACCCTAAATCCTAAACCCTAAACCCTAACCCTAAACCCTAAACCCTAAACCCTAAATCCTAAACCCTAAGCCCTATCCCTAAAATGGCTCACATGGACGGGCTTCCGGCGCCTCGCCGAGGTTTGGGTGGACGCGGCGCAGCCTTCGGAAGAAGACGCTGCTAGTCTCGAAGCCTCGCTACACAGTTTGGCAGCTTCCTTTTTGAACTATTTTCAGCTTTAGTATAGTATAATATAGTATAACCCTTAGGAATTATTTTCAACTTTAGTATAGTATAGTATAGTATAGTATAACCCTAAGGAATTATTGAAAATAGTATTCTTGTTATAGGTTCAAGGGGACTACAGAGCTTCGGAGGAGTCTTGAAAGGGGCATCCCAAGCGCCTTCATAAGGAAATTATAGTGGGCCCCCCAGGGGGTTTAGGGTTTAGGGTCTTGCTTACTTACTATCTGGCGCTCTCACGGACGTATATAGTATATACGGTGTCATTTTGTGGTCATGGAAAATTCTCATGCCCAGAAGGACCTCATGCCCAGAAGGACCTAACAAGGCTTGGGGAGTAGCAGAACCAGGCAAGATGCACTTCTAGATGCCAATATCTAACTAAGCTGTTAGGAAGCAAAATGTGCGTCTATAGAACAACAAGGGGGCAAACACATGCTCCTTTTTCGAAGCTCTCCTGTCCTGTTTAAAGTTCTTCCGATCCTGGGTCCTGTGAGGCTATATTCTCATCTGAGACATCACTGCTGTGCATTGTGCGCAGATCTTCATGGGATGATAACGGGCTTTTCTAAGGTAATGGGGCTTTAGGACCCAAATAGTATAATCTGAATGGCATCTGGGACCTGAAGGCTTGGACCCGTCGGATGTGCATATGGATGCTATTGTGGCGGACAAAGGGGGATATGAGATCGTTGCATCTGGCGATTCCATTTCTAATGAGAGTGCCGCACCAACATCGCCAGATAACTGCTCAAATAACTGGACACGCACTGAGAATGTATCTCTTTTCACACTTTTCTAGGACCGAAGCCGGCGGATCCTAAAACTGCTTCTACTTTGCTGCTTACTTGTCCCTTTCCAACATTGATTCACGCCTTGTGGATCCTGAGCGTCTTTGCCTTTTGCTAACTGGGCTGCCGCTTGCGGCAAAGCAGCGTTCGATGCGGCAGCTGAGGCCTGGCACTTGCTTGTCATCCTAGGGGGTTTATAGGGCTTATATAGGGTCAATATGGGGGTTATATAGGGATAATGGAAAAGAAAATGGAAGCTACCATTTAGGGTGTAGGGGTTTAGGGTTTAGGGTTTAGGGGTACCATTTTGGGGGTCCCCATAATAAGGACTATAGTATTTTGGGGTCCATCTTGGGGTTCCCCTATTTAGGGCAACTACCTTGTATCAGCGCATTCAGCCCTTTGGAGAGGATCCGGAAGTAAAATGGAAAGCACTTGTTCTACGACCCCACTTTGCCATTGTTATCATAACTGAAAAATGGAAGCCGCTCAGTTACATGAATCATGAACAGCAGAACGCGAACTTAGAACCTTGTTTAAGGCTTCCGGTGAACGTCGGCGCGCCTACCAACTTTTAGCTAATGATCTGATTACCATAATTTCACCGGGATCTGGACACGCATCTCCGTGCTCACGCCTGAAAAAACACACCAGTGCACTCCAGCATGACGATCACAATACGGCCAATCGAAGACCAAACGCCCATCATGTGTTCGAGAACGTTTGGTTTGCCAAGCATCGGAATGACCTTTCTCCTTGGCCCAGGCACTTTGCAAAGCGTAAGCGCTTAACCCTGAGAAAGCAAGCCGTCCTGGAGTTTTCCTCTGGGCTGAGTGACATGAATCTGTTGCCACAAAAAAGCCAAAGGTGCGCCAAACCCTAGCTTCCAGGTCATCTCTCAGTCTCTCCGATATAGTAGCCGTGGACCCACCGCAAATTTAGAGTTGCGGCAGAATCCCTACATAGGATTTGTGGCTATGTATATAGCCCCATGGCATGTACCCGGGCTATGACTCCTGGGCCCTAAGCCAAGTTCCTGCAGAAACTTTCTAAGCAATGCAAAAACTTCATTTTGGATTCCCCTAGTCAGCCAGGGGGGGGGGCAGTCTAGGGGGGTGGTAGGGAAATCCAGAACTCATTGTCATTTTAAACCCGGTGAAGCCATACACCTCAAACTCGAACTCCACATTCCACCTGCCCAGACCCCAGGCCTCCCTGAAACCCCCAAGAAGCTGCTGAACGCAAGTCAACGAACCCTGAACTAATAAATAAACTCCAAAATGCAGAACTTAAACACTTGAACCATCAATCCTAAACTACGAAAAGAAGCAGACACATAACGAACACAAACAACCAACATAATCTAGTAGTCTCTATTCTATTTTCCATTTTCCCTATATAACCCCGAAATAACCCCTATATAACCCTTATATAACCCCAAAATAACCCTTATATAACCCCTATATAACCCTTATACAACCCTTACATAACCCCTATATAACCTATTATAAGAAGAAGAGGAGGGGTGCCTGCATGCGGCAGAGCCGAGACGAAGCTGGACAGTCGGGGCCGGGAGTCCGGCAGCAAGAAAACGGCGCCTACTGTCCGGGCTGTTGTATGGTCATGCTCTATTATTATAAATAGGTTATATAGGGGTTATATAA